AGCTGTGGGGGGGGGCTGGGGGAGTGAGGGGGGTCAGGGGGCTTATGCAGAGCCCCCCACGCAGTGGGGGGGCAGCAGGGATCACCCTCCCACCCGGCAGCACCCGGGCTTTTTTTTTAAAGCAACAGGAGCTGGGGCAGGTGGGATGGGGGGTCTGGGGGAGCAAGCAGGGGTCCCCCGATAGTCCCGTTCCCCAACCTCCAGGTCCTCCTCCCCACCCCCTTACTTACCAGCTCTGAGTCCAGCTCCAGCTCCCCGCTGCAGTAGGCAGGGACTATTCAAATCAAAGTTCTCTGAATCTTTTCCAAAGATTCAGAGAGCTTTGAATTGATTTGGACCTTTTTATTGGTCCCCTGATTCGATTTGATTTGGATTTGGAGATTCAGCCACTGAATTGGGCTGAATCGCCTCCAGATCAAATCACCACCTGAAGCTTTGCACACTCCTACTGCACACTCCCCGCTTGCCTCAGACTGCTAGCAGGGGACTGAGGGCTAGCAACACTCCCATCCCTTGAGCAGCCAGCAGGGGAAAGCCTGGGATGGTTCAGGCAGACCTCCCTAATCAGGTGCTGCCAGGGCCTGGCCACACCCACCCCCCTCAGATCAGCATTGTGCAGGGTAGGGATGGTTACTCTAGCACACCCTAGCTTCTAGCCTGAGCCACTACAGGCATGTGCCTGAATTTCTTCAGTCCAGAGAGAATCTCTCTCCAGTTACAAACCAGTTCAGCCTAGCCAGGTTAGACTAACCTGCAAAGACTGAATCAATACAGGCTCAGGTTTTTTGAATGTCTGCCCTTAGTCTAGAGGTATAGTCATGAATTTTATGTCTAAGTAGTGTCTTATTAAAAATGCTTTTTCAGATCAAAATGTTCCATGAAAACAAATAAGAGTTTCAATCAACTCCCACCAAACTCAGCCATATTTCCCTTTGAGGTTGCCTGACAGTGTTAGAAAGCCAGGCTTCCACTGTCTGGAGGTCTTATAAACCCCACTGAGACTTTGACATGCCCAGCTAGAGCCATAGGTCATGCAGTCTATCCCCACCTCATGAGAACAGTCCAATGAATCCCCAGGAATCAGGATCTGCCAGCTCATCCATTTCCTTTGGAGGAAAATAAGTATCATAGTGAAAGTAACTGATGTTTCCACATTTTTCACAGGTTCTTTCCATGCCAAATTCCAAAACATCTACTTTGAATTCCATTTGGAACAAAAGCTTCATTGAAACATTCATATTTCTCCTGGGGAATAGACTGAGTTGCAGTGGACTTCATTGGGTGATGTTGAGTAAGCCACTTGGCTCTTCTATGCCTGCATTCATGATTCACATATAGGGATGGGATAGATCCAGTAGGAGTGCACTGGTGTCAACACACCCCCTTTCAGTTGAACACACTGTGTAAGCAGCAGCCAGGGAACTAATTTCAAAATCCTCAGAACAGGTAAAGATTTCCCCCATCTTCCCCTCCATGTTTGATGGCACATTCCCTCCCCTCCACTTACCATCCCTTGGCCCCCACCCATTGTTCCTGCTGTCTCTGGCTGTTTTGGGGGCATGAACAGGAGAGGAGCTATATCACTGGGCTCAGCCAGGAACAGCAACAGTAGCAGGTAGTTCCTTCTTTCTTGCCTAATCCTACTGGTGTTGCCTTCCAGCCCAGGAGCAGGCTCAGGGGAAGGGAACCCACTGCTGCTCCTGCTGTTATCTTGAGATGAGCTTATCTCCACATGCAGCCTGGCTGGAGAAAGGGAAGAGTGACTCCCGTCTGTGTCAGCTGGGGACAGTGGCAGCAGTGAATGGGAGGAGGGGAAGGGAGGAAATATAAGGAGAAGGAAAAGAAGAGACCATTCTGCTGAGCATGAAGGGAAATGGAAAGGGAAGATTCTTACCTGCTTGAGGGACTTAAAAAGAGTGTCCCCCTGCTGGTCCTGTAATATAATTTGTCTGTTCTGCTGTGGTGGGGAGAAGGAAAGAGGGAGGCTGGGCTGCAGCCACCCCTCCAGCGCAGGACAATGTACCTGCACCTTCGTATCCAAAATCCTGAAACCATACATGTATAGGTAGGAGAACTCTTTCTTTACCCAGTTTGTCCATATAGATCATAAGTTCTTGAAGGATTCTTATTCAGCTTTTGCATACTGTGAAGCAAGAGGCCTTAAATCCTAATAAAGGCTTTTGGGCATCAGCATACTAAGAACAGTGGGATGAAATGCTAGTCCCTGTTCTGGATAGGAAAAGAAGCAGCTGCTATTAAATGATCTATATCCAAACTCTAATGAGTGATAATTTACAGTTCTCCAAGTACAGAATGAAGGTTCTGTTTTTAGCACTGAATGTGAAAAAGTAAGTACCCTAAGAAAATACAGAATAACAATACCAAGGGATTAAACTGAGTGAGACTTTCCTAGATTTACCATTCAACACCAAAAGAGAGACAGCTAAAATTAAACCTAATTAATCAAACTAATGCACTTTGTCACAAGTAGGCTAGTTTTAGCTATTGCACACAGTTTCTCTGTTAACTGTCATGTATACATTTTCCTTAATATGCTGCCCTTGATGGTTCCAGTCTGTCCTAGCAGTGACATTCTCATTACAACCATGTTAGCTGCCATATTAAAAAAATCTGCCTCTTTTCTGACAACATCGCTATTCAGTGAGAGAGGAACACAAATAAGAACCCCACTGCAGCAGCTACTAGATATGATTGTTATCAGAATGGAAATGTCTTTTATAAGGCTCTGACACCAAGAACAAAACATCAGCAAGTCTCATGTGCTCCTGTAGAACTGATTCCATTAGATAATTTTATCTTACTCATTGAGAGGCGGGAAAGGCTGGGTGTGATAAATGGCTATTGTTATACCATACCTGACCACTCTGGCACCCACCCAACCAAGCCTGATGATGATAATCAGGTAATGTAATTTGCATGGTATCTGACAAAGGATAAGCCAGGTCCCACCCATCTGTTGGAAGGAAAACCCCCATCTGGTTGCTGTAATATCATGGAGTTACATTTTACTATTAAAAGAGAGAAAGAAAATGTTCTGAAAAAGGGTTTTCACTATTATTGTTATTATCATACTTACATGATGAAAGACAAGAAAGAAGCACTTGCCCTGAAGCAGATGGCAGTATTCTTCTGTACACTGCAGCCTGGAAAACATACACTGTTAAAAATGACAGGCCAACATTGTTGCCAACATTTTCAGACACATGTATCTCCCTGTAACAGGGAACCCTAGCCCTGTTACCAGAAGACAGGTTGGCCCTGTAAAACCAGAACTTTCTGGGCACAGCATGCTGGTAAGATAGGGGTTAAAAGTTGAGCCTGGCCAGCTGGTCAGGTGACCAGAAGGGGGCAGGCCAGGGCTATAAAACCCTGGGCTGGGCGGCAGTAGGGGCTAGCAGCCAAAGGGGAAGAAGTATGTCCCACAGCTCCACGGAGAGGCTTGGTGAGCAATCCAAAGGCTGGAGATGGGGAACTACGGAGGACCCCAAAGAGATGGCAGCAACCCCCAGAAGAAGGACTATAGCCAACAGTGGGGAGCAGAAGCACGAACCCCTGTGTAAATGTAAGCTGGCATGCTGCCTTCCTTAATCACATTTCTCTTGATGGCGGTTATTGCCCATGAACAGGACTGTTCATATTTTTTTTTGTTATTCAATAACACTGGTCGTTTGGGCGAGGCTGTTGGGGAAAGAGGAGGCCTCATTGGGACCACACTACAATATGGGGACCTGGCACCGGTGTGGGCACAGGATTTGGGGTGCACTGACGCCGGCACCAGAGAAGGTGCAGTATTCGGGATACATAGGCCCCAGCACTAGTATGGGCACAGGATTTTAGGGTGTACAGACCCAGGCACCAGAAGGCACGATCCTAAAAAGCCAGAGTGGTCTGGTGCACCTGAGGTGTGGTTTTGGGTTTTTTTTTTTGTGGACTGGGACAGTGAGGGCTTGGGGCCATTCCCTGGCCTTGAACTTGCAGTTCCCCCTGGCTGTATGCCCAATAGCCAGGCCTCTGGGCCAGTGAGGCTGGACTCCAGATTGGAGCAGAAAGGAGGTCCATGAGCCTTAAGACAAGAAAAAAAGACTAGAGCCTCAGAGTCAAACCCTGTTTGGTGGATTTAGATGGGGAGGCCTAGCTAGAGAAAGGCAGGGGTCAAGGCCCGTGGAGGCAGAAGACCCCAACATATGAAATATAATAGACAGTTTCCTGCTTGCAAGAACATCAGTATAATAATTTTCCATCAAGATGTGGCAGACGAGTAGAGAGCAGGACACAAGAAACCTTAAAGGGGACTCCAAGGGCGCAGATAACAGGGAAAATGGAGCTGGGGAGGGCAACCTGTTATACTCCCCACCTACTGAAGCACCTAAATTATGGCCTGATATACAAAGATACTGACAACCCACTAAAATTCTCTGTGGGTGATTTAAAAAAAAAAAAAATCAAAGGAATTTAAGACTACAAATCCTTTTGATTTTCAATGAGACTTGTGCTCCTAAAGTACCCAATGTGGGAAAGCCAACCAAAATTGCAGTTCATTTTTGTTATGCAGATAACACTCATAGCGAATGCAGCTAGAAAGTCATTTGTAGTTCATGGATGTGTTAGCTTGAAAATTCTGCCCTGCACCTTCCTAACTAATGTCAAAAGCCTACCATGTTGACTCCTCCTTAAACTCGTATTCTCCCAACATTTATGCCTTCAACATTAAACTATACCAAATACATGAATTTCTGGTGGGAGTCACTTGCAGCTCCCACTAGAGGCAAACAACTGCTGCACGACAATTGAGAGATGGTACCAGTGTCAATGTGTTTGTACAATGACTGTAAAATTAGCCTGCATGGCACCAAAACACATTCAGCATTAGCAAGAGCCTCCCAACCCTAGCAGCCTATTGGGCTAGCATGCCTCAGGCACACCGGTGTCTGTAGCCAGTAACATACAAGGAGTGGCATGACTAGTGTCCCATCAAGCTTCTTTTCACTTCCCAACTTAAATGACCAAGTACCCATTTACAGCTTCAGGCAGTCTTTGGCAAGACTCTGAAGTGGCTTTGAGCTCAAGCTTCCAAAACCACAGCACACTATTTTAATTGCTCTTCCTCTGGAACTAGCCCCATCCTTAACTACTGAATGTGTGTACAAATATATTGCATGAGCATTTTTTTAAAAGAAAACTGCAGAACATACCTATTCTTCTAAAAAGAAAAGCCCTCTTATGCTGCATGCATGTGCAAAATATATACATACATATGCATATGGAAATAATAAAAATGATGAAAATTAAAAAAGCATCTATTACTAAGATCAGCTCCCTCTAGTGCTAGGCATTGTACAAAGTAAAAAAACAGTTCTGCCTCAAAAATGTTGGAGTGCAAAGTTTGGAATCTGGCTGATGCACATTTTATAGAGGTTGCAAATATTTTAAAGCAGGAAGGAAAATTCTTAGCTAATATCGCTAGCTCATAAAATCGAATCAGAACAAAAAGGATACACAAGTCATGGAAAGCAAGCACTTACTTGGATACAAAGGATCCTAGGAAGTACATCAGAGTCACAGCGACAAGGATAGCAAAAGCAACCAACAGAGCTAGAAAAAACCAACAAAACACTAATATTAGTTTCTAGGGGATATGGATGTTGCACCCCTACCCACCCCCGTTCCCTGTAACCACTCCAAAGATTAAAGTAGCCCTGCACCATGCACTAGCTCCCTGAGAAGTGGTACTGATAGTTGGGTATAAGAAATTAGCAATGCTTCACCTGAGAACTACATACCATTGCAGGCAAACAAACCCTTCCAGAATGGAAAAGTTGCAAACCTCTTCAACGAAGTAATTCGTAATTCCAAAGTAACAAACATATGCCTCTTAAAGTACATGATTAAACTCTAAAAAGTCAGATAGCACCAAATATTGCAAATGTAGCCTTAACTCTGCCTTACAGTACATTACAATCCTGAGAATTTTAATGTGTGTTAACCACAGCTGCTTCATTTGCTTCATCTTAGTTACAGTTTCACAAGTTGAGGAACTGGTACATTGTCTTAAACCAGGGGTGTCAAACTCACCCTACCCCCAGACCCAGGTCACAAGTTGTATGTTTGACACCCATCTTAAACTCTATGCACTGCCTTTCACAAAGAGAAATATGTCACACATATAGGGTCTGCAGCCACTGTTTAGCCCATTAGTATTCATTTCTATTATGGTATGCACAAAGTCTCCAGTCATGTTGCTCAGTATCATACAGTAACCAGAAAACATCCTCCCTGCCCCCCAAAAGGCATCCTTTTTTTTGCCCAACTCTATTTTTTCTCTGTGATGATTCTGTGGGTGCCTTGGATTTTATTTATTTTTAAGCTTGTAGGTATCCTTATTGTCTTAATCCACAACACCATGAGTAACTATTTCCTGTGTAACTGCAGACAACAGACAAAACTGATCAGCTGCAGCATTTTATAGCTGTTGAACTCAGCTAACAAGCAGTATCAGTTCATCAATTGTATCATGGAAGATGCAAGTACTAGCAAATGTAATGCATTGGAACACTTTCAACAAAACTAATAACTTATGAAAGTCTTGAGGCTTAAGGCTAAAAGATACAAGTCCAGAATTTATTTACTGTGATAGTAGTTCAAACCTTGCAACAGGGGCCACTTTTATGGAAGTATGAACCAATTGCTGGATCCTAATTGCAGTATATAGTGTCATAAATGCTCTTGTAAGTTTTGTAGATTAGTGTCCATACAAAGTTCCATCATCCTTTGCAAATTGATTCACAAGGTGAGACACAAAACTTCTGGAAAAGCATATACAGGACCTGTGAATGTAACAAAGCATTTTTTTGTCATTTGTTATATGCTGTCAATCAGTTTACCAGAACAAGAAGTGGCAGATGTTCAAGTGAAGATCTTGTGTTCACAGGGTTCTCTATACCGGGTTTTTGTTTCTTGTATGGGTAAAGCTACACCAGTGCAAACCCCCTAACATAAAAGTTGAATGAGCAGAAAAATGTCATTTGCCCTAGTTCAGCGAGACAAAATGCAAAGGAAAGGTAGGACAAGTCCTTTTTATTCTCACATCTCAGAATGCCTTGGTGGTACAAAGCATGATACTGTTTTCAAAATATCCATAAGTATTATCATAATGGTAATATTTTACACTCACTTGACTCGCATGCAAATGAATACACAAGACCTAAGGCAACAGAGAAGTCCAAATGAGTGAGCTAAACAAACAAGATGGTAAAATCTACAAAGAAAACAAAGCATGTAGAAAAGAGAACTACAAAGAAAAGGAGAAAAATGGTTCCTATGAATTCAACTCACCTGCCATCAGGACCAGAATTTAATTTTTTACTGTATGTAATATATCCATATGCAATCCATTAATTCAACCCATATTTGCCATAAATCCATATATGAGTGGCGTTTAGTTTATTATAAACCTCTTGCTACAGCAGCAGCTAGATACTGACAAATGAGCCCTAAGAGAAAAGCAAAACTGCTTGTTTCCAAATACAGAGGTTGTTCTTTTGATCGTAAAAGATGGAATGAATGGGAAGCCAGAACAGAGTGCATTATCAATTTCTTCTAAACCTTTTAAAATAGAAAACTACCTTACATACTTGAAGGTCTCCACACCCCAATACTCTCACACTGTTAATGTATTTAGCAACACAACTATCCCTCTGAAGTAGGAATATGTTATTATCCGCATGTTTCAAGTGGGGAATTGAGGCAAAGAGACTAAGGGACTTATCCAAAGCTGTACAGAAAGCATGTAGCATAGCAGGGATCTGAACATAAGTTTCTTCTAATGATTTAGTCGTAGAACCAGCCATCTGTTCTATGGGGAAAAAATTAAAAGGTCTAAAATAAGAACAGAGGGACTAAAGACAATAGGCACTATGTGCCTCTGGCTCATTTTCCTACCAGATCTATCCCATCTAGATTGCACTGCATTACTTGTGACTTCTGCTTCTTTAACTTGTGAAATAAATCCTGCAATGGCAACAATACATCCTGCTCCTATTTTTGCATTTCCAAAAGAAAGGAAGCATAAATTAGCATGTGTAAAATAAAAATCTCATAAACCTTCACTAAGAGATATGGATCTATATCTGGCAGGTACGTTTTGAGAAAGTTCAGTTACATGTACCATGAATGTTTGTATGCTTCTTGACTCTTTTGGCTGGCTCAAGCAACACTGTGAACCCTCTGGGAAAGCCTATTCTGAAATTTAGAAACTTTTAAACTTTCAACTTGATTGCATGGACTCAGTGACATTTGGAAAAAGATATCCAAAGGGAACCCAATCCTTCAGCTTTTGAAACTTTGATCTGGTCATCTAATATCCTCAATAATTAACTCAAGCCTTCCTTTAGCTGGTAGCAGTATAAAGATATTTCTAAATGCAAGTATATAAAGGTAGGTTTAGTGGTATAAAGGCAGGCAACTTAACACATGGATGTAGACATATATCCGCATAATAGCGCCAGTGGAAGGAAAGGAACCACCCCCACAAACCTAGCAGGGAAACCTAAATGAATCATGCACGTCTAACACAGCAGGTAGCTATGTAAGAGAAGTGTGTGCCAACCTTACACTGAGTACACACGCCAAAGCCTTTGATGGTTTTACATCTACCTGACATATGCTGTATTTCAGCTATATATTTCTTCATGATGTTATATGGCTGGTGTTACTCACAAAAATGAGATGTACCCCATCAAAATAAAATAAAGCAGCAAGTCAGGCTGTACAGTCTTCAGACAGATCAGGAATGCAAAAGGTATATTTAAAAAGATACATTGGGATACTAGAAATCTGTAGGTTTATTCTCCTCCTCACTTGCACAAATATATCTAGAAGCAACCCCACTGATTTCAGTGAATTGATCCCAGTATAAACATGAAGAGAAGAAAATCACGTTTTAGGATGAAACACTGCATAACCTTAATGGATCCAACACAAGAGTCTTGTAACCTTTTTTTGTAAACCATCTAAGAATTATTCTTACCACTCCTAGAGCCATAGGATTACAAGACTCACTTTTTCAACAACAGAAAGCTGAAGTTTCTAATCCTTTGTGGTTGTAAGCAGAAGCTTGAAAACATGATATGAATACAAATTAAAACAACCTAAAATGTGTTATGTTTACAAATACAGTAAAAGCTTTGTTATCCTGCATAAGTGGGGGTCCTGTTATCTGAGAGTTATACCTATCAAGGAAGACAGGAGCACAGCACAGCCACCCCCACTGGGAAGAGCCTGGCTCTGCCCCAGCCCCAGCCCCAGCCCCAGCCCAGTGGCAGTCTGCCCTGCCCTGCGCAGATCCCTTTCCTTCCCCCTCAGACATTTCCACCAGAGGGGGAAGCCAGGGGGCACATGCATGCATGCACACATTCAGCCCCCCTGCAAAAATGTTCTCCTTCTGCCTATGCGGCTATCAAATAGAAGGGCTCCCGGCAGCTCCTCTACTGGCAGCATCACTAACTAACATAAACAACAAAAATACTTGATGCGCATGCCAGATGGACTCAGCAAAGATCCGGTTGCTAAAGTGAGGATTTGTATTGGGGGATATTGGAAATTCCAGTTAATAGAGTGTTCTGGTTAGTAAAATGCCAGTTAACACCACTTTTACTGTACTAAAATATTTAAATCCTGATTTATTTGATATCTGATGCATGAATTTTGGAAGTTTGGTAATGGCAGCACTGATCTCTGGATCCTGGACATTATATTATGTGACTGGAGATGCTACAGCTACACAGGATTAAGCTTTCCTTGTTTTGATCGTGAAGGCAAGGGAAAAACACTGAGAACTTAATTCTCAACACAGGGAGAGAAGGACACTGCCATTTGGAGGGAACATTTAAATTAGAAGGGTTCTTTTAACTTTATGTATTCCTTGGTTGATATGGATTCGTGCTTTCCTGATTTCAGTGAGCACTAGCACAGCACATCTTAGGGTGAAGACAGTCACAGGCAACAGAACCTTGTCTATGTTATTCTAATTTAAAATCATACATCTCTCAATGTGTACACAAGGGGTTTGTAATTAGTGATATGGAAAGTCCGTAAACATGTACCTTTGTACCTAGGATTAAATTGAAAGCATTACTCATTTGTTAATTCAAGATGTTTGTATCAACTAAAAGGTGTTTGTATCAACTAAAAAAGAAAGACAGGGCATGGCTCCATGTAATTCGCTTGACTCAGAACTCAAGACAGTTCTCCTGAACTCAGAACGTTATCAAAAGTTTGTTCTTTCTGAAAGGCCAGGGCCCCAACTGAGAAGTCCAGGAGATTATTACTTGATAAATGGGTGAATGGTGGTATCCAGGAGATTATTACTTGATAAATGCGTGAATGGTGGTATTCAATACATTTCACAAGCAGTAAGTATATAAATTGTTGTCATAGCACTATTTTAGAGGCATTCACTAACAAGGTGTGTTCAAACATCACCTCCACAACAATCTATTGCTTATATTAAATATTACTGATTAGTACTACTACTTACAAATTATCGGTACAGTGAGCTCAACTTTATGCCTGACCTCACTGTCAGCTGCTGTGACTTA